GAGATGATTTCTATCAACAAGAATTTGGCATGGCTATGGGTTCCCCTTCATCTCCCATCTTAAGTAACATATATAAAGTATTTTGAAGAAGTTCAAGGCAACCATTTTGAGCATCTTCTGAACTGACCTCAAGCTTATTACCTCATATTATGTAGTTAAATGTCAATGTATACAAGCAATCATTAAAAGTTCCGCCATTTTATAGTAGCTGAAGATATTGACTTCATATTCTAGGGTTGTGCAGTATTTATGAAGAGCTTCAAAATGATGTATCAGAAGCCCCCTTTCCATTAAATTTTTTTTCCAGATGGCGCCCAGTCGCCATCTTGAAAGTTTTATCTGTCAGTTTCACTTCAAAATAAAGTATTCAGGCATCAATTTTATCATCCCGAATTTAAATTTTTTGAGTTGACCCGTTCAAAAAATAAAAGGGGGGACATTACAGAAAAGCACTGCATAATAAGTTATCGTCATATGACAAGCTCGGGATATCCCGCAGGATGTGAATAACAATGATTGACATTTGATACGCTTTATCATGCAGCTCATGCTCCAGCCAAATTCCACACACTGCTCCGACATTTTATATCAGCTCTCCACTATCCTCTACATCCATGTAACACTCTTTCCGGTCATCTGGACCCAGCTTAATTAACTATGTTGGTCAGGAAATACAAGCCGGACCCTTCATTTCCCTACAATTTTGCATGAAATGGCCGTGAACGTTTCGATCTAAATTAGCATTCATCGTCACTGACGGGCGATGTTGAAACTGCCGAATAATCTTGTTAGTACTCCACTGGTAACCACTGGTAAAGTGATTAATAGCTTGTTAACGCCTGAAGAGTGGGAAGTACAGAGAGTCAAAAGGAAANTTTTGTAGCACCATCAACGTTTGCGAATTGTTTATTCCTTTGTTTTCGTTTCATTGCATGGTCAATGACATCCCCTATTTTAATGACTCGAAGAACTGTCGAACGAGATAGTTTCGTTAACTCACAATAGCATTCTGTGAAGTGTGACAGTTTTCCTTCTTCAAGCATTCATGAATATTTAAAATTACTCGCTGAACTTGAGCATGTAAGTCCTCATTTTCAAATTCCGAATCCCTGTCGATTGACACAGATTCCTCACACTTAATGTTTTCATTTGTTTCAAAAAGTCTCCAGAAAGCCATATTGATGGGAGTACCCAAAAACACTAAGATTTTCGCAAAAATCGGTTTAAGCGATGAGATTGGAACCTTTGGTGTAAAAGTTGAAAACTTTTTGTAGAGATCAATTACTCTAACACCAAACTGTTATTTTTGCACTCGACGAGCGTTTCGCAAACAAGGTTAGCATCTTCAGGAGAAACAAATTGATACTGAATCTAAATACAAGGGTTAGCTGTTTATATACCTGAGGTTTTTTGGTCCGATGTGGACTTTGTTTGTTAAATGATGATTATCCTAATTGATTTTTCGGTAATTAACTAGTGGAACCACTACCTGCAAATCAATTTGTCCACTTTTCAATCTATTGTTGGCAAATTAATACTATTGTTCTTAGAGCGCCTCAAAGATTTTTCTGTAGTGCTTCTGTTTTGTCCACAAAAAATTAAAAAAAAAACGTCAATGATAATATGTCTACGAAGACTAGGATAACAACGGTTTCTAAGATAACAAGTTCAATAATGGTGATCTATTGATCTATTCAAATCCAGTTGGTGATTCAGTAAAATGTTTGAATTTTTAAGATTATTAATTTCCATTGATTCCACATGATTCTGGTTTAAACCTCTATTTTCTTTGTGTAAAATTTAAAAACCCCCTTTAAAGATACGGTTTTCTTCTAAAAGATCATTTGAATATGTTGAACTTGTTTTCTCATTTACAAAGCTCATTTGATGTTTCTGGATACGATTCCTAAACGTTCTGCCGGTTTGACCAATATATGTATATATACCTTGTGTCAAGTTCCACAATTCAACTTATCTACTCCTGATTCCTCAAATTTCGATGTTTTGTCTCCATTATTTCCATTTAACTTTCCCAACGCATCACCTGAGATTGTTTCTTTGAGCAATAAAGTAAATTTTTCCTTCGAATGCATTACCAAACAATAATCAAAATCTTAGAACTATCACGAATATCATCTTCGTTCGAGTTATAAGTCTGCCTTGGCAACCAACCCTCTAACAATGCTAATAACTCCTCAGATTATTACAACTACAAGAACAATTGTCATCATAGGCAGAGGAGCAACTAGAATATCCACGTCAAAGACTTTCATCCCCATCGGTGGAGTGAGAATGCGGTACATATTCATCCCTAGAGCAGATTAGAGACTCTATTAGGTAGAAGCCTTGCTAATATCCGATAGTAGAGCAGAGGAGAAACTACAATGATGTGATTACGGTCACTTTATCCACCGCGTGAAGAGCCTTTGGGTCAGAGAGGTTTGAGAAGGCGTATATGATTATCGGGTGTTCAAACTATGGGAGAGGATAGTGAAGAATAATTTCAAGTGTTTTTGAGATAATCATTCATAAAATGATACTGAAATATGTGATACTCTACGTACGTGTTAACTGAAAGTTTCAGGATGTTATATACAGGCTGATTCACGGTGGATGGCACATTAGACGTTTCTGGTGAACCAGACAACATACGTAGAATTTCAAAAAAAG